GCATAAAAGGCACCCGAGCTTCTACCTGCTCTGTCTCCACTGACAGAGATTATCAAACAGGCTAGAACAGGAACAGATGAGTCCCACATAGAGCCCACCAGTATGCAAAAAATGTCCCAAGACGCCAAAGAGTAAAATGTAGAAGTACCTTGCTGGTATCGGTGGCCCACTTCAAGCACCGCATGTTATCAAAATTGACACCACTTCTCGGTGAAGTCGTGCTCCACCGGTGGATCACACTGACAAAGATGGCCATGTTAATGTTGGTAAAGGTCCAGAAGATCCAATCCAGTAAAATATTTAGTCCCAACGCATTGTTATTTCAATAAATACACATGTACTGCTGTTGCGTCGCTTTATATCAGCCTAACTACAATTAGCATGTAAACAAAAACATCTCCATGTTGACACCTTAATTGACCCAATAGAAACTTCCATGCCCTGTTCACGGCCCACAAGACACTGAGCCATCAATTGTGCAGAGGAAGACTGGCCACACACACACACACACACACACACACACACACACACTGGATGATATGGCCAAGAATGTTATCACGATATAGTGGATCACATCACAAATCTGAGATAGAACATTCAAAATATTTATGATAAAATCTTTGTCAACAAATATCTTTAAGTAAAATTATGCAAAACCTTTTTCAGTCCTTTTTCCTCAACAGAATAAACATCTTAAGAAAAATTAAGTCCTAATTCGTGTATTATTGAAGTGAATATAATCAAACATTTATTGAATATTTATTGAACATTTGTTATACTGTTATTGAAAAAAAATATATTGTGATAATTATTGTCCAGCCCCACACACAACAGTTAAATGTTTTCCACTCCTTTGTACATTTAGTTTTAAGCCTGTTCACTAGACAAAATTATTATCCCGGTTAAAATGACAATTAACGTCAATTACAGATGCACATAGCTAAGCAAGCTAGCTAGCGCTGCACACAGCAGTTAGCTCCACCGTCTTGTCCAACTATGGTCACATCCGGTGCCGTTGGTTGCAAATAAACATGGCAATGCCTTAGCAGCCAAACACGAGGCTTCTAAACGGCAGTCCACAAACCAACAGGCGAAATCACGATGACTACATCCACTTCTTACATAGAGTCTTATGATTCCAATCAACGTGAAATTGAGCGCACATGCACGAGTCACATACCCCGCCTTGGCTCCTCCCATAAATTACTATGTAAATGACCATAAATACGCCAGCATCACTTCCTAACATCCTTATTACTAGTATTGTAGTACTGGAGACCAGTCTTAAGACCACTTTTTGATGGTCTAGGTCTCGTCTCGGACTCGACCACATTTGCACTCGGTCTTGTCTCGGTCTCAGACACTGAGGACTCTGGACCAGTCAAGACCATAACTTTGGGAATATCAATGAATTGCTTTTGCATTGTCTGATTTATTTTCTAACATCCTAACTTTGATTAGATGTAAAGCGTATTGTGGGTGGTGATGGTGCAATGGATAAGATGCCTGCCTTTGGTGTGAGAGACGTGGGTTCAATCCCCCCACTGTGACCTATCCACCATTGTGTCCCTGAGCAAGATACTTAACCCCTAGTTGCTCCAGAGGCGTCTGACATGTATAGCAATTGGATATTAGCGTCAGCTAAATGCAAATGCAACCAATAACCCTAATTAAGAAGGTGTTGTTACCGTTAACGACATGGTAAGCATGGGAAAGGAGTGTTGAATAAAGATGCTTATGTTGATTTCAGCTCTAAGTGTTTGTATGTGGGTGTTTTAAAGGCAATATGGATACTTCAGATGAATTTGAGAAGTACAATCTCATTCCACATTTTATTCTGTGTCATGTAATGTGGGGAACTGATCTTGGTCTTGACTGGGTCTCGCCCGCCGTCGGTCTTGGTCTCGACTTGGTCTCAGCCCCTAAAAGTCTTGGTCTTGTCTTTGTCTCGATAAACTCTGGTCTTGACCTGGTCTCTGGGCGGTCTTCGTCTTGAGTACAACACTACTTATTATAATAGCCAATCCTGCTGCAAAACAACACCACACTTTAATAAGTGCAAGATTGAGGTGCTGATCACCGATGTGGAGGAGGGGAGAAATGACTAAATCACAAACAAATGCAACAGAGTGGTGTTAGTGACACAATGACAGTCAAAGCAGCCGGCTCAGAGACTCATAATGGCTGAAATAAAGAAAACATGGTCATGGTCTTTAAGTAGAAAGATAAACACTACAGGTGCTGGTCATATGATTAGAATATCATCAAAAAGTTGATTTAAGTAATTCCATTCAAAAAGTGAAACTTGGATAATGTATACATTCATTCCACACAGACTGATATATTTCAAAGTGTTCATTCCTTTTAATTTTGATTATAACTGACAACTAATGAAAACCCCAAAATCTGTATCTCAGAAAATAAGAATATTGTGAAAAGGTTCAATATTGAAGACACCTGGTGCCACACTATAATCAGCTAATTAAAGCAAAACACCTGCAAAGGCCTTTAAATGGTCTCTCAGTCTAGTTCTGTAGGCTACACAATCATGGGGAAGACCGCTGACTTGACAGCTGTCCAAAAGACGACCACTGACACCTTGCACAAGGAGGGCAAGACACAAAAGGTCATTGCTAAAGAGGCTGGCTGTTCACAGAGCTCTGTGTCCAAGCCTACAGAGCCAACAGGTCTGTAGATGATACTGTAAATATGGCCCTTCCCTTCATCCTCCAGCACTTGGACTTCCCAAGAACCTACGCCAGGATCCTGTTTGTGGACTTCAGCTCTGCTTTTAACACCATCATCCTGACCCTGCTGCAGGACAAGCTCTCCTAGGTGAGCATGTTTGACTCCACCTGCAGGTGGATCACAGACTTCCTGACGGACAGGAAGCAGACGCGAAGCTGGGAAAACATGTCTCTGACTCCAGGACCATCAGCACCGGTTCCCCTCAGGGCTGCATTCTTTCCCCTCTGCATTTCTCCCTGTACACCAACAGCTGCACCTCCAGTCACCGATCCGTCAAGCTCCTGAAGTTTGCGGATGACACCACCCTCATTGGGCTCATCTCAGGTGGGGATCAGTCCACCTACAGGTGGGAGATGGACCATCTGGTGACCTGGTGCAACCAGAACAGTCTGGAGCTCAACGCTCTGAAGACAGTGGAGATGGTCGTGGACTTCAGAAAGAGCCCAGCCCCACCCTCCCCCATCATCCTGTGTGACTCCTCAGTCACCACGGTGGACTCCTTCCCCTTCATGGGCACCATCATCTCCCGGGACCTCAAGTGGGACCTAAACATCACCTCATTGGTCCTGATGGACAATGATGGTGCACTTCTACACCGCCATCATTGAGTCCATCCTCACCTCCTCCATCACCATCTGGTACGCTGCTGCCACCGCCAGGGACAAGGGCAGGCTGCAGCGTATCATCCGCTCTGCAGAGAAGATGATTGGCTGCAATCTTCCTTCTCTTCAGGGCCTGTATGCCTCCAGGTCTCTGAGGCCTGCAGGAAAGATTGCAGCTGATCCCGCCCATCCCAGACATAAACTGTTTCAGACTCTCCCCTCTGGCAGGAGGCTGCGGCCCATCAGGACCAAAACCTCTCGACACACAAAAAGCTTCTTCACGATGGTAGTGGGCTTCCTCAAAAAGGCCCAGGTCCCCACTGTCACTGGCTCTCATGCCCCCCTCCTAAACACACACACTCATCTGACCCCACACTTTACAGCAACTATGCTTTATGCTCATGTTGCCAACTTTTGCACATACTTGTCAGCATTGTATTATAGTATGATATTTTTTGTATTCTTGTACATTTTTTTGATCTCCTTATTTATATATGACCATTTTCTTTTATGTGTACTGTAAGCACCAATTCATACCAAGGCAAATTCCTCGTATGTGAAGATGTACCCGGCAAACCCTATTCTGAAGTCAACAGTCACTTCACTCCACCGGAGCCCCACAAGGCTTTGTAATCTCACCGGTTCTGTATACACAGTAATGACTGCAGTAGCACTAACCCAGGTATAACATACATCAAATATTCTGACAACACTGTGATCATGGACACCACTAGTATAGAGCTACAGACTGCAGCTATAGCTATAGAGCTACGGTTCACAGCGTAAGCACAATGTGCGACAGTAATAAATGTCAAAACCGTGTGCGCTGTATTTATATGGATTAAATGAACCGTCAACACAGAATTTGCGTCAATGCAAATTAGTAATTGTATCGATTTGTTTCAGCCCTAATCACAAGCTTATCTTCCAACTTTATTTACTTACAACATTACTGATATGTGATGTGTGGTATATTGTGATGCGTTTCTGGAATGTGAACAGTAAATGCACTGATGATGCTCAGCAAGTTCCTAACAGAAAATAATATGTTTTTTATTGAACTTTAGTGGGGTGGTTACAGCAACACTTACTACTGAAAAAAATCCTGTCAACCTGGGTCCTGACAGCCAACAACCAACCCAAAAGTTCTCATAATTCAGAAAAACCCAAACCGCAAAGAAGCTAAACCAGCTTCACAACTAGAAAAAAACTTTGTCAAAGAAACAAAGCATCAGACATATTTTAGACCAAAACAAATTGTGTTTCATGACAGATTCAAGCAGTCTATCCCAAAACAAGCAGCAGTGAAGGTTAACAAGAAATCCTCCTCACAGATCAATCAGACGGATCATTGTTTGTTCTGTGCGCTTCGCCATGACACGTGCAGCACCGCGCATGCGCCACGCGGGAAAATGCCGACAGTCACAGCACAAAGAAAAGAGAAACGCTCGTGAGTTTTTCTTTCAGCTTCCTCTCTTCAAGATGAAAACAGGAACCGCGGAGACACTTTGGAAATCAAACCACGTAAACACAAACCCTGGAGCGGGTTTTCAGGCTCTGATCTCTAACAACAGAATGAACGGATGATACACGGACCCTCGAGACTCTTCCTCGTGTCTTTAGTCTCGTGATGAAGTCATGAACACTGACCTGAACATCGGCGCTATCAGAGCACGAGGCTGCTGTTTGGCTCCTGTGGTCCGGGTTCTGGTTCTCCATCGTCCTGCAGGTCTCCGCTGTGACTGGTGGACCGTGTTGTCCTGGACTGAGTCTGGATTCTGGTCTCGGAGCTCTTCAGGCTGAGATACAGGAGCGCTGCGGGATCCCGCGGAGTGTTCTCGCGATGTCACGGCGTCTCGCCCCGCCCCTTAGTTACTGTCGCTAAGGCCGTTTAGAAACACGGCTCCTTGATTTCAGGCAGAAGATGAAGTTTAGTTAGTTGGTTTCCTGAAACCAGCTGATCATATTTGATGTGTATGAGGGAGTGTGCTTCACACAGAGCAGAGTTGTAATTTAATTTTTAATGCGACCTCTGACACAAATAGCAATTGTAAGTTGCTTTGGATAAAAGCGTCAGCTAAATGAATAAATGTAAATGTAATTAATGAGCAGCCCAAACAGATGCAAACACAAAGCCACTGAAGGAAAACTGTGTGTTGTGAATGTAGCCTGCAAACCTCTTTAGTCTCCGTTAATACAGAAGAAATTAGAAATATAACAACAACATGTTGATGTGATGCTCACTTAATAAATAAATGCTGGTAGTTGGGAATAATATTTGTGGAGGATCTCTTCTCTGTGGCAGCGTTGGGTATTAAAAGCACAGAGTACAAACATACAAACAGAGCAACACACAATAAATATGAGATGCTGTCAGACGAGCGTTTGTTTATTCAGCTTCAGAGTCATTAATGTGAAATGTAAAATGTTTGTGCTGTTAAAATCTGTGAATAACAACAACTTACTGGGCTGCTGATCTTCCATTATAGCAGGACTGGTTGTTTCTATTAAAGGTAACAGGACACAAACCCTCTGCACACAGTTTGCTCCTCCAGTGACTTTAAAGTGAAAACTATCATCTGTTGAACAAACTGAAGCTCCTCTGCTGCCTCCTGCTGGCTGCTTCCTGTCACTGTCAGTCTGTTCGTCCCTCAGGACAAACTGGAGAGCTCCTCACAAAACATTCACATTAACACAACAGCTACATTTACTACACTGCTGTACTAAAGTACAACACTCAGGTACTTGTACTTTACTTTCTACTTCTGCTCCACTTCTCAGAGGGAATATTGAACTTTTACTTCACTACATTCATCTGGTAGCTTTAGGTACTAGTTACTTTACAAATTAGGACTTTTTAGTGTTTAAATGTGTTTTGTTATTAGTTAAACTCCCAAAAGTTTATATAATTATTATTTTAAGTTTTTTTTTACACGATGTAAATCCTCCACACCAGACTCTACTACTGAAAATCTCTAATGAAGACAATCATCAGTTACAGTCTGATGCTCACAGACAGACAGTGCTCCAGCTCAACAACTACAGCAGTAAAATCCTGTATTTCAGTACCTTAAAAATGTTGACTCACCACAGGAGCTTTTATTTTGGTAATTCTTATCTTTTCTGGGCCATAAGGGTCAAACAACAGAGAATCCCTCAGTAATAATAGAGCCAGAACAGATCTAATTATTAACTGCAGCTTACAGCAGATACAACCAAACTACTGCAGGAAGCACATCAGCTTCTGTACGTTACAGTAAGGGAGGAAACATCAACGCTGACATGAGCTGAGGTGTAAAGGTCAAAGACATGTGAGCTAACAGACACATTAGAAAGTTCAATAACAAATCAAAGCTGCTCGTTCAGCCACTAAACGTCAGTGATTTCCTGTCAGAGCACAGCAGCATCCAGAGAGAGTAAAACAATGAAGGAAAGAGCAGAAGATGGAGGAACAGCAGCACTCTGTTCTCTTTATTCTTCATCTTTATTGGTCTGTCTGCTTAATGAGCAGCAGGTGGCGCTCAAACACAGTCTGACTCTTCAACAAAACCTCTGGAAGCTGTTAGACTCTGAAGGACTGAGAGTGAAAGTCTGGAGGTTTCTTTTGACCCCAAACAGACTCAGAGGCCAAAGCTGTTAGACTCTGAAGGACTGAGAGTGAAAGTCTGGAGGTTTCTTTTGACCCCAAACAGACTCAGAGGCCAAAGAGTGGGCTTTTGTTTTCCACAAGGGATGCAGTTCATTAGAAAACATGATATTTAATAAGGAATGTGAGAGTGAGAAGACGATAAAGAGGTTTTCCACCTTTGTAAATCAGCTTCCACCGCTTGTTTTGGTGCTGCTGCACAGACGACATCAGAATCTGAAGTAGAAGTTAAAGGTTTGTGACTGCAGGATCAAAACAGGACGTTTCACTTTCATCATGATCACATCATGGAAACCATCATCCAATCCTTCATCTGCCAGTTTTTTCTTGCAGACAGATGCTCATTGATGCTGCAGCTTAATGCAGTCCCAGGTTGTGGTACAAATCTTGAGAGTAATTTATAAAATTTTATAGATTTATTTTCAATCCGGTGCCCTCACAGACCTGACGGGATGATGGTGAACATGTCACAGTACGTTTGACTGGAGGTTTGGTATATTTCCTTCTGAAGAAATAAAGAAGTTACAACAAACAGGTGTCTTTGGTATATTTATTAAAGTAAGAATAACAGAGTGATTCAGCGGAAGGGCAGAGCTCATACACCAGAGGGCTGTTAGAGAGTCTGACCCAGAGAAACAGAGAAGATATTTAATGCTAGAGAATAATTGTGGAGTCCAACAGAAAAGCCTTTCTCAGCCTTGAGCCACAGTGGAAACTCCTTTCTCACAGGAAAGCATGACACAAAACAATCTCACAGAAGGTCATTATATCAAAACACTGGTACACTAAGTGGAAATTATAAAATCACATAAGATGAGCAAAGAACATAAAGTAATGACATATAGAGGATTAATAAAAGTACATATACAGGGTATATACACAAGTATCCTGAAGTAAAATTCAACACCTTTTAAGACCTTTTCAACATATTATAAGACAGACGCCACTTTGAGCTGTAACCGATTAAGTCAGCAATGCACCTGTAAAAGAGGAATTGTGAAATTTAAATATACTCAAATTTTTATGGCCTATATGTGACCAGGTTGTAATCTCTTCTAAAAGCTGAGGCATTCACCAACCTTCTCAGTCTGTATAGGCCTGTTATCTTTGTGAAGAACTGGTCAAATTTCCTGCAAAAATCCATTGTCTTAAATCGACTATGACGTTTATGTTTGCAACATTACTGAAAATCATGTGAACAGTGTGATTTTGTGTATTAGTTGTTTCAAACTAGATAATGTTTGCTTGCATGCAAACACTTTACTTTTTAATTTTATTTACTATAAATTGATTTTGAGACTGTAAAAGTAAACAGTATTTCATCAACTACTGTATCAATACAACATAATTCAAAAACGGCAGAAGGGAACAAAGCTGAAGAGAATAAATAGAGTGATGGATAACGTTGGTAGTGTAGGCGGCATCTTAAAGCTTATTTGTGTCCATTTTTATAACAATAACTTCCATAAAACAGATGTATAATAGAACAAGGAGAACATGTTTCTCTCAGGAGGCGGCTAGAAGAAGCACATATTGGCACGATGGCATCCTGGCTAAATCTACATCTGTCCGCTGCAGAGGCTCGACCCACAACCTGGAAGAGGAGCTAGTATAAATGAGTGTATTAGTATAATATTATAACATTATATTAAAGGTATATTGTTAATATAATCATAAACTGTTAGTTTGATAATATATTATTTATGATGTTACTATATTTATTATAATAGTATACAGTTTACCACTATATAATATTTAATACAGTTTAATTTTGGGGTTGTTTGTTATTTATTAACTTGTTCAAGAAAAATGCTCTAGGCTGCATGGTAGTTAGTCTCCAACTTTAATTTCAAGTAGGCTACTAACTCGTCAATAATCATAATTATTTATGCAGAACGATGAGTTCAACATTTGAAAAGTTTTCTGTAGCACATCAAACTTCTTTATGTCCCGCTCCATTCAGGCTGTGATAGATCTGTTCACAAAAAGTGACACTGACGAGTGCTTCGGCTTTATGAAAAGGTGAAAGTGTTTCAATAAAAGGCACAGTTAGCTAAATAGCCAGCTAACGTTAGCCAATTCCAAACGTTACTATTTTCCCTGTCGTCTTCGGTCTTACTGATCACTTGTTGATGGCGGATCTTGCTCTTGAGTTTGAGTAACGCGGCTGTTCGGTCAGCGCTCAGACCGACTAAGTGGAAGATTACGTTCTGTTGTAACTAGGGATGCAACGAAATTAATCTTCCGGAAATAGCAAACATAGCACTTTCGGTGTTCAGCCTAATAAGTCAAAAAAAGATTACACTCACAGAAAGTATAAAACATATTACATGTGTACATTAAAATTAAATGAACACATGTAATTTACTTTACACGGAGTAAAAGCACTTTTTAACCCTAACCCTATGCAATGGTAAAAAAAAAAAAAGAAGGCGAAAATGTGAATGTACTTGTTTGGAAAAGTTTTTCCATAATATTCGGTTTTCACATTGACCAGTATCTACAAAATGTTATACCTTGTTAAATGGCGATTAAGACAAATCATTTTTAATGGCCTTAATTTTCCCAAAATTGATTTATTAACTTTTTAAGACTTTAAGACCCCAGACACACTGATATAGGTAAAATCAATTTTTTGATGGCTTGGCCATGGTCACAATGACTTTATAACAAACTGTCAGTTCCTCAATCAACCTTATTTAATTTTGCTAATGTCTGATAACACACCCCCACTTCAATTGTTACTAATCCTTCTGTTTATTATTGTTATTATTACAGTCACATGATAAAAGGTGGTTGTATTCAGGGCAGCAGGAAACAGCTAGCTTGGCTCTGTGAAAACTGTCACACTGATTCTTTGTGAATGCATTTATGTCCTTTAAGGGTTCTTCTGTCGGTATAAGATTTGCCACATTTGCCACAGCTGTACGGTTTCTCTCCAGTGTGAACACGTTTGTGCACCTTTAGGGCACCTTGATAGGTGAAAGATTTCCCACACTGTTCACACCAGTACGGTTTCTCTCCAGTGTGAACACGTTGGTGGATTTGTAGGTGACCTGATTGAGCAAAAGTCTTTCCACACTGTTCACACCAGTGTGGTTTCTCTCTAGTGTGAACACGTTGGTGCCTTTGAAGGTTACTTGATTCAGCAAAAGTTTTTCCACACTGTTCACACCAGTACGGTTTCTCTCCAGTGTGAACATGTTGGTGGTGTTTTAGGTGAACTGATGTAGTGAAAACTTTCCCACATTGTTCACACCAGTACGGTTTCTCTCCAGTGTGAACACGTTGGTGGATTTGTAGGTGACCTGATTGAGCAAAAGTTTTTCCACACAGTTCACACCAGTGCAGTT